ATATTTCTTTTAAGATTGATTATTTCGTTTAAAGAATTGATTTTTTTCGTTTAAAGAATTGATTCTTTCGTTTAAAGAATTAATTATTTCGTTTAAATATTTGATTATTTCTTTTAAAGAATTGATTATTTCGATTAAATATTTGATTATTTCTTTTAAAGAATTGATTATTTCTTTTAAAGAATTGATTATTTCTTTTAAAGAATTGATTATTTCGTTAAAGAATTGATTTTTTCATTTAGATATTAGATTATTTCTTTTAAAGAATTGATTATTTCGTTTAAAGAATTGATTATTTCGTTTAAATGTTTGATTATTTCTTTCAAAGAATTGAATATTTCTTCTAAAGAATTGATTATTTCGTTTAAATATTTGATTATTTCGTATAAATATTTGATTATTTCTTTTAAAGAATTGATTATTTCGTTTAAATATTTGATTATTCGTTTAAACGAATTACCTATTTCGTTTCAACGAAATGATTTTATAAAGTATTCAAAATTGCACTGAATGGGCTCCTTACAAACTAAACCGAAACCTTATAGACAGGCTATCTGTTGGCACTATAGTTGTTGACAATGCTCACTGTATACCAACTGGATATGAGTAAACTGGGTCGGGTTCTGGTATACTCTTATGCAGACTGGCAGACTGACTTCGAACGATGGTGGTATTTTCCCAAGACACAAGGAATTTGGAGGCAGAATACTATGTTTAACAAATCTTTATTTATACACTATTTTATATGTAGTCTAGACTGGAGTTAAAGATGGCCTACCAAAAGCTTCTTATCCTATTTCCTTCCTCCTTGCTTGCCTCCGACAGGTGTCGCTCTGAACAAAGAAAATAATTTGAATTTCCCTCCAAAATTTTCTATTGTTACCAAGTACTCAATACCCAAAAGGTTAATCTTATAGTAAGTCCTTATAGGTAACAATAGACCTGACCAGATACTTATAGAGTATAGTAAACGCCACCCTTTTGTTCCTTAACGACCCCAGTGGTTAGTGGTAACATCTTTTGTTTCCAGTCCAGACTACTTTTACAACATACAACAATGCTACAACCTAAACATTTCCCTTTACAAGACAGATTCCAGTCGTGAACAATATATTTCATTTTCCTAGAAGTAGATACTTCCTTTTTTCAATGTATTACATTTTATTAAAAGATTCATCGATTTTTTTGTTATTTCGTATTTAAAATCTTTTATAAAAAAAATTGCAATAAGCACAGGCGTCTCACTGAATATTGGACTGATGCAAATTGATTATGTCATTTACCCCAATAGACATAAGATGTTTAGATTACCGCTTTAATCCCTTTAAATCAAATGTTTGATGATATACACTGAAAAAAATTTAATTTTGAGCAGAATGCAACCTCGACAATTTATGGAACCAGAATTAACTTTTTTATTTTTGGAAATTTCTGATATAAATCCCAATAAATCATATGAAATGAACACACAATATCGGATCTTTTATACTTTTTGTGTTTACCGTGGACACTTTATATTTTGGATATTCAATTGTTGAAACACAGCTGGATGAAAATTGTTTTTTGAACAGAGCTATCGGAGAACATGACAAACCTTAAAGAAAAAGCTCTAAGATGGATATTTTTATAGTACAGTCATTCCGTCATTTTCCACCTACATCTTTTTATTTCAAGTATGCGGTTACATCAAAGTCTTTTTCTAACAGAACTGATCTCTGGTCGGTCATTGAAAAGTTAAAGGGTCACAAATTCACGTGATACTAAGAAAACGAAAGTTAAAATGTTGAAATGTAGATTGTTGTCTCTAATTGTTAATTTCGCCGATCGAGATCCTGATGAAAAATTGTCATATCAATAATCAACAGAGTAGCTAATGTATTTCCAATCAACACTATTTACAAAATAACTTAAATATTCTTCTTCCTTGGTTTTTAAATTGAGTTCACATTGATGTTCAGCAATTTGGTAATTACAAGATCGACACCATGACGTCTGAAAGCAGGCTAAAGAACAATGGGCTATTGTTGGTGACTGCATCGTCAGTCCGGTGTTGTTTAGAAGTCTACCGGATTTGACTGCAAATCTTTCATTGGAAACTGAAAAAGATCAATTATTGAAAATGTTGCAGCGAGAGTGCTCGACAATAAATAGAATACAACTAAAGAATTGTTTAAAGCGGACACTTCAGAAACAGAAACTCATACAAATGCCATGAGTCTTAATATCCAATTTTCTAAATTAGGAAAGACTAAATATATACTTTAAAGAGATATTCCACATAGAAAAGTTGGCAATTTACAGATTTCGATGATAATTATTCTGATTTATCTGGGATTGGCCAGGATTTCATTGACGAGGGGTCATCGATTACTTCGGCTCCACTCCTGGATTTTAGAGGGTAGTAGTTGCGGTGGAAAAAATTTCTAATCTAGAGGCGGAGAATGCGATTTTGGCAGTGAAAGTAGAACAAATTTGAAATTTTTTCTGTCCCGAGGGGGGTATGTTCTTCCACTTAAATATGCCACTAAGAGATGGTACAAGAATACATAAAATCACGAGACTGTTTCTTTAAGGTCCCTGATACATTTTCAGTATATCAAGGACGGTCACCAACTTCGTCAAGTTCATTTAAACAAAAACACCAAATTTAATAAAATGTTGACATAAACTGTCACTTCTATCCCGTTCACATGTCAACAAATCATGACGCGTTTTTCCTAAGTCAAGGGCAATAACTAAAAAACAGTTCATCGAAAGATCTTCAAATTCGAATTTGTCCAAGATCTCATCATTATTCACTGATCACTGATCACTGATATTCATTGATCACACCAAATTTTATTTAAATCGAATGAAAACTGTAATCTCTATTTTGTTCACAAACAAATTTGA